GCAACTAGAACATGAATATGTAGGACTGTTTCGGCGCCCATGATAAATAGTTTTCTTAAAATAGGATTGATTGTACGAAGTGATAATCTACAAAATGAGTGGTATCAATTAATTAAAGATTAATATTTGAAACGCTCAGAAATTATAAGTTTTATTTATCATTCATGACTTCACAGAGTCCAATAATATTTGGACAGTAATCAACTGCCCATAGTTAGGGATGTTAATGGTTAGCTTGGTTCAGCTTGGCTCAAAAAGCCATGGCTTAAGGCTCAAACCATGGCTTTATAACCATAGCTTAAACCATGGTTTAAACCATAGCTTTTAAGCTGGCTAATAAAAATAATACTTGCAATTTATTGTAATATATAAAAGATATATTAAAATAATTTTTATTAATTTAAATTAATAAATTTATAATAATTTAATTTTAAATAATAATCTGAAGTAAATTTATTTAAAAATTATATATTATTTTACAACAGTAAAGTATATAAATTTATTATTAAAATTATAAACAAAACTATTATTAAACTTATAACTCTATTGATTATTATTAAAATTATCAACCCACTTTAGAGTTGTTACTCAAAACGAAGCTACCTAAGACTAGTTTTAAAAGGCTTTAATTCAAACCCGAAACTATAATTCGAAACCTCAAACTATAATCCAAAACTTTAAAATTATAATTATTTATTAAAGTTAATGAATTATACGATGCAAAACATATGACCGCCACTGTATTTATTTTTGATAAATATTTTTATATCACATAATTGTGTTCAGAAACATGAAATATTTTCAAAATTCAATTTTTGAAATAATTTAATTTGTAATTCGTAGATCAATCGGTAAAATTAATTAGTAATGTGATTGGGCAATCACTATATGATCATTCACGATTACTAAAATTTCTCCAATATTAGATGGGAATTGCTACCGGCACAGCAAACACGTGACATAATTCCTAATTCTGCTACATTCTAACACTAACCTTAAATATAGTACCGGCCATGCTGTGTCGTTAAGGTTAGTGCTGGTCACTTGCTGTGTCGATAAGCACGTGTTTTGTTGTGTCGGTAGCAATTCCCTATTAGATTAGTTTGAATTGGCACGTGATTTAAATGAAAATTTACAAAATAACGCATTGAAATCGTGCAATTAACTTTATTCAAAAAAAATTTTTTTTTTGAGTTTTCAGTAAAAACTTTACTATGTTGGACATATAGATTTTAGAGGTCGTGTATATAGTATGATTCCAAATTTTAAAACATTATATCATCAAAATCTTGCTCTTTTCTGCCGTTTCACTACAGTCTCACCATTATTATCGTAACAAACAACTTTTTTACCTTTTTCGCTATTAGGTTTTCTTGTTCCTTGATTACTATTATTAAGATCTCCAGTGGTATTGCTTTCTTCTATTGCAGTCTCTGCTGTATGTCTTTTTAGACTTGCTGCATATCGTGGAATCCATTTTGCAACCTTCGTTACTTCAGGAATATCCTCAACCAGAATTTCACCTTCTTCTGCAAGAATTTGAAGTTGCTCTACCATATCTTTTGCTGTCATTCGATCTGTTTTATTCACATTACCCGCCAAAAAATAACCTTCAAGGTAAGATTTTACTGTGCTTGTCATTCGTTTTCCTGCTCCTCTTTTTCCATATTTCTGATTACTTTTTAACGCCCAACCTCTTTTTAATTCGAATACTTCTTCTACATCTATACAAAAATAATCGAATAAATCAAATTATAAGTAAAAAAAAAAAAGGTATATATATATTATATTACACTGTATCTACCTAATAATGAATAAATTGGATTATTACATTGTTCTTGTTTCTTTGTATCTAATAATATACGATTAATAAAGTGTAATAAAAATATTTTCAAATAAAATTATTATCTTGAACTCGAGATAATGAAAAATTCCATAGATTTTTTGGAATCGAATGAGGAGTAATATTGGGTGTTGGTTTGTTTACAGGTATTGTAGTTAGTTTTGATATTTCAAAAGGTGAAAACTGTGACCATGATCCAGTATGTGGTAAGCATCGTGCTCGTATATATCTGGTATAATCACCATTAATTGGCCATTCAAAATAAAACAATTGAGTAATACCAGCAATTGTTTTAACATTGTGGTTATTACGTATAGGTTCTATATTTGCAACCGAAGTTCCTTCTAAGTCAGCTATTGCAGTTTGTATTTTTTCACCTTCATCTAAATTATGTCCAATACGGATATATCTTTTTATAGCATGTGCAATCTAAGAAAATTTACTATTTAGTAAAAAAAAAGATATATGTAAATAAAAAAAAAAACTTCGGGTCATACCCAAAGTTTTATTTTTCTAGTACTTATTTATAATTCAAAGCTTACTTGCGCATGATGGGAATCAACACTTGTTTTGGCTTCTCCGGGTTCAAGAAAATACCAACCATGAACTTCAATGTTATACCATTGAAACCAATTAGCAACAGTAATGATTAGCTCAGAGTTATGGTAGTGTGCACCATTATCCGATAATATTTCAACCCATTGTGGTCTAGGATTGAGAGTTTCAAAAACAGAATCAAATGATGAAAGGGTAAACCACGCATCTTGTTTAGTGTCAGTACTCCAATAATCAAATGCTTGAACTTTAAGTTGGTCTGTATTATATTTTGTAAATACTAAAATTGTATGTAAACTCCACCCTCTTTTTCCAAAGAATTGCTCTTTAGTTTCTCGCATACTCTTAGGTAAAATACGCATTTTGTAATCACATACTAAAATTGCCCCATCATTATCTAGTTTTGCAAGTCTGGCTTTAAATTGACTATTCAAATATACCTTTCTTGCTTGATGTGCCAAAAAATAATATAATTTGTTACGGCATTCTTCAATAGTTGAATAATGTTCCTTGAGATTTGTCATAAGATATTGAATAAATTCAAATAGCCGATCACATGCTACACATCGATTTGTATGTTGTTCATAACATTCACCAAAGGCATAAAGTAAGCAGTGATTAATTGTATCTACATATATTGTTGTGCCATCCTGATTCATAATAATTTCTTCTTCGAATCCTCTTCTTAAATGAACACGTAATTTTTCTAATTCTGTGATTAATTTATTCTGTAAAATGTAGATATAATAAATAAGAATTTTTATTTTTAAAAATATAATACATATATAAAATATAATTACTTTTTCTTCTTGATTTGCAATGTTTAATCGAATTAAACTAATCAACATATCAAAGACCTTATAAAAATATTCATTACAAATACTACATAAGCCTCCTAAATCATTTCGATAAACATATTGCCCATTCGCTAATCGTGCCATAAATGAAGTTCATTTAATTCTATCTGAGTAAATCGCTTCATATTTTTTCCAAAGTGCTTCCTTATTGTCTTTTAGATAAAGAATTGGAAGATTAGTTTTTGAATGAACTTTGTAAGAACTCATAAACACATTGTCTTTATCTGCAAAAAATACTTCAAACTCCCGATTTTTGATTTCTGATATTTGATTTTGAGTTACTATAGGTTTATTTATAGCAATACAACCAGGTCCATTAATTCGTGAATATTTTCTTGCTGCATCCATCAAATCATTCGAAATCTAAAAAATTTAGTATACTGTTAGCAAAAAAGTTTGATTATTAAAGTTACTTTTTGAACTTACTCTTAATTTTCTCGTATTTCATGCCGTTCAAAATTATTGGCAATTATTGATAAGATTCTTTGTTTACCATTTATACCACGATTATTTATTTTGATAGAAGGATTGAAACAACCCCAAAACTGGTCGATCTTATTTTGAAGATTTTGGTTTTTTACTAATAGTTCTGCTTCTAATGGATCATATGGAATACTATTTAGAAGGTTTTTTGTATATAAATAAAGTATTAATGCACGATCACTTGATGGATCTTCTGCGCATGTCCAAAACTCAAGCTATTATGAGATAAATTACAATATTAGTTTATATATATAAAAATATGATCTAAACGTTCAATAATTAATAGCTCACATTTGATTCCTTTTTTTTATAGGGTGTTATATTAGTACATCCAACATATCTAGAGATGGGTTTCATGCGTGCGCATGATTGAGGAATCATGCGCATTAATGCGCATTCATGCGCATGATACCGTTT